TTCTTTCGGACCGAATAAGACTGCTAAGGACATCGGAGATGGCAATGTAAGTGGGCGAGTTGTCGGCTTAAAAGCCTCTCATTTGACTTTTACAGACTTTCAGGTTTTAAACTTGAAGACTGGCTTGTTAACAAGCTGTGTATAGCAAAAGGGTGCGAAGGAGCACGAGAGACTTGGCATCCTCTGGCTAACCCGAACCCTATATTCAGCTGGTACCTGAGGCTTGTTGACTACCATGCTTGTAGATGCCTTACAGTTCTGCACCAAAACAAGAAAATTCGACAACTCCCAGGAGGATGGGTCGCTTCATGTCCTTCTCCTTCTGCAAAAACGCATCTGTGCCCTGCTCTATCGATGGGAAACATCATCTTCATCGCTCATCTTAGGTTCTTGCTGAACTGTTTTTGTGTTTGATGAACTAAATTTCCTGGATTCCCCTATTTCACTGACACTCTATTATTTGGTCGGTGCAGCACATGAAGAAGACGGCGAGTCTCGATACAAGTCAAAAGCTTGTTCTCTCGGAAAATTGTGACGGAAGTCGACTGATGGTGTTATGGAAGGTATTCCAGAGTATAAGAACTTTTCTTGAAATTTCAAACACCAGGCCATGATGGAGGCGAGACTCTTTGGCTCAATCTTGCGAAGGAAAACGTTTTTTGAGCCTGAACTGTACCCAGAGAAGCGTTCAATTCTACATTTTCTACCGGGGCATCAATCAATAATTCCTATTTGGCACGAGCTGTACCCATCATGTTTGTTCCCACTACACACGTTGTCACTTCGTGATAAAAAGTGGCAGTCAACGAATTTGTTGACTTAAGCGCTTACTTCATCGGCCGATCAACTGATAAGTACAATTCTGTTTATAGTTCATTAACAACATCGAACAGTTACGCTTCATTGTTCAAGGATATTTAACCCGTGAATTGCGCTGGACTTTGGAGAACAACATTTTGAGACAGTTGTAGTTCAGTACCCACTTCTTTCGCGTACCCGACACGGACGGTGGACATCTTTAGCTTTCAGCTTAGCTTTCAACGGCATACTGGAATGCTGAATACACAATACCATAATACATAATACATAATACCTAGGCGGGGATCCGCATTTGTTTTGCATATTGATAAGTAAAGGATACGGTTGAAGTTTTTGGCGTCAACCAATCCCGTTTGGGAGGCGCTCCCGCATTCGACTTCCATTCACAATCATCGGAAGGTTGGAGTGGCGGTTTGGATGCTTGTGCGGTCTATACAATGACTTACGGTGGTGAGCCGCTGTACAAGTTAGTGCTTTTTTCCTCCCAGACGAGTATGGTACCAATTAACCGATCTAGGAGGAATGGATGGCTTCATGGGAATGGGCTGGAATCAATCAGTGGTTCGAACCTTGGAGTATGCTTGTGTGATAGTTCCCCACTTGCCACTATATCAACTATGCCGTTTGCACAGTGACGTGGATCGCTATAGCAGCATTTTGTCCTCGATCCTGCGCAGCCTTAATCAGTTATTCAAATGAGGATCCCAAAAATACTTCATAACTTCGGCTGAAAGGCTCTCGAAATCCCGGAGCGAAGACGGAATTCCTCTTGCATCTTAGAACCAGCAAAATTGTTCATTTATTAGAAAACGGTTCATTTGACAGCTTTTTCGACTAATCAGGATTCATGACATTATATTGCTTCTTCAGGGGTTTATGTCAAAAATGGTGCTCATCGATCCGGACTGGCAACACAAAGACAAGGAACTTCCGCAGAGATTCGTTGTAAAGGTGCGTTTCCGTCTCTATACTGAATCCCGGTCTAAAAAGTGATGGGTTGGTGCACTTCGATTGGTTGGAGCCTGTCACTATCCCAAAATTTGCGGATTACAATTATCATAGGGCAGCCAAACTGTACAAATGGAGCATTAATCACATTTTGACCTCAAAGGAAACTATTTAGTCAATTAAGTAACTTTCACTGGCGGTCGGCACCCTCGACAGCGGGTCACGGCCATAGTCAGCTAACAACTGTGACAGCTGTGACACGCATCACGTGTTGAAGGTACCCATTGATGTCTGACACCCCAGGGAACACTGGGCGCTAAGCGCGTCAAGCTCACCAAATCTTCAATTCGATAGGGCTTGGTACTTATGTTTAGACAATTAAATTTAGCCATGGGTCCTACCATACAGTCGTGCCTTTTATTATAGTAATTTGTAAAAGGAAGTCATTTTCATAAGTGAAGGATTGTTCAATTACAGATTCTCACCCAACTGGCTATTCTAAAAGTTACCAATGAGATGAGTGAAAAAAACAATGTAGAAAACTCCTTCAAGGATCCAAAGTTTATGGCAGATATGGAAGTGATGCAGAAAATGGTAAGCTCCTCTTTGGTTTCTATTGCGCCTCCCACACGACTTTTCTTTTGAATAGCGAATGACCTGGTTGGTCTCTATGTAGGAAATCATCAACCTTCCAATTTTCCGACTAGTTTCATTGAATATTAAGCAGAAGAGCGTTTTCCTGGTTGAACGAATTCTTCTGCTTTCGGCAACAGACTGGTTGCAGTGGCAAAAAATTCGAGTTTGGAAAGCTTTTTTCTCACTTACCTATATGCTAGTTACTCGCTTAACGCTAAGATAAGCGCAAAATCGAACTGAAACTGGGCATGTCGCTTTTCAGTGAGGAATTCTTCACCTCCGATCTCGTTTTCATTCATTTTCTTCATTTTATTCCAGTGTCATAACGCCGAAGTACGAACCTATGAACATCTGATGAAGCTTTCTAATAAAAGTCTACGCATCCCAAAGGTCTGTTCACCGTGAGCTCTCATCCGATTGTTCTGTCAATTCAGACTGAAGTTTTTTTTAGTTTACAGAGAGAAATTATAATTTTACAATTTCCTCAGTTTCTTTCTATTCTTTTTTTGATTGTTCGGTTTGTCCGGCTTCTTCCTCACCAATAATAAAATATAACAGATCTATCCGATTTTGATATCGGTAGTTTATCAATATTCCTTCAGATCTACTACATGAAGAAGTTCACAGAATGGAATCCAGTGAAAGGATACATAATCATGGAGTATCTAGAAAATTTAAAAGCAGTTCATATATATGAAAATGTTACACCGAAAGAAGTAAAACAGGTTGGAGATTGATCTGTTAGTTCATATAAAATCGGATGGCTGCCAAGAACCAATTTGAGATCCTCCGGCATAAAGCCGTCATGGAGGCGAGTTCACTGGAAGTGCCACCTGGTGTGCGAAACGAGTACACGTCGCCCTTCAAAACTCTTCTCGGAGCGATGTTCAAGAAGGAGGTGGTTACATTTTTGAATTCAATAAGTATAAGTACTTTCGGTGTTGGTCGATTCGAAAGTCTTTCAGGTCCTTGATCAGATATCGACAATGTTCGATGCATTCGGTGATGGAAAGCTTGCAGAGAAAGGTGAACGTTTGAAGGCAATTCTACCAAAAATGGTAGATCTTCAGTGGGTGGACAATATGTCTGAAGAATTTGGTAAGTATATTTGGTGTTTTTAGAACGAATAAGGTCTCCTATTACCACTATGAGTTAATGAAGTTTTATTTTATTATCGTATGAATCAATATTGCTTTTCTGATCTGTTCGAAACCTTCGAACCTCACTAGAGCATTTAATTCCATCAGCAATATCAACTCTGATCAACGGTATGCCGAGAGTACACATTGGAACCATCTGCTACCTTCAGCAGTTCCTTGAGTCCTTGAATTGTCCACCTTCCCCTATGCCTTTATCTCCAACCGGAAGGAAACAGGTTCATAGTTTACTTGGCAGAATGGAATGAATGCAGTTGTACGAATGACGGTTTGGCGGAGCGTCTGAAGCCGAGCCTGGAGCTGATAGGAATCTCGCGAAGCTCCAATCGCTATCACTCGATGCCTAGCTTCAGGATCTAGAACGTTTCGGAACCAGCTTCGCTCTGTAGATCTTCCTCCTTAAGCCTACCTCCTCTACCATAAGCGGAAACGACACGTATACCAAAGAGGTCCAACAGCTTTTCTGCGCTCAGCATAACCGAATGCCATCTTCTGTCTCAGCCTAAACCTCTCTGAAAACAAAATCCGTCATGAAATCGAAGTAGACATTTTAGCACAGAGTAAGCGGATTGCAGCATTAAATGTTAGCAATGAGACAGCATTAAATCTCCAACATCTCTCTTGCTTTAACCTCGGCATAGCTGTTGTTTGTGATAACTATTATCTTGTGCCACACGAGGTTTTTAGGTGGAACACTTTATTCAGTCAAACGGCCTAACGTTTCGACTCAATCGTCGTCTTCAGAGGCCTTAACGTAGTTCG